CCAAGCTTTTCATATGCTTCTCTTAAATCGTTTATGTTTTTTATACTTTTATTAAATATTATGCCCGTATATATTGATCTACGTCTTGAATGACACTATTGAGTAGTAGACAGCATCACCCTGCTTTACCCTACAGTTAATTTTAAATTTTTTTTGATAATTCGCCTTAAGCAAGCGCTTTGGGATTCGTATTTATTAGCGTCATAATTTCCAGCTCAATTAATTTTTCGGATACACTAATTTTTAGGATTTTGTCTATTCTTGATATATTTATACTATCAAATTCTTGTTTGAAATCTATGAATAGACAGTGAATATCAATTGAATATTCGAAAAAATTTTCAAAGACTTGACCCAAAATGAAAGTTTGGTCTGTTCTTTGAAGTCTGATCGATTCTTTCTAAATGCACTTAGATAATCGGCTAGTATCTCTTCTGCAAACACATTCAATTTTTTAAGTAACACATTTGTTACATACTAAATACTGGATACCTTATATCCAGTATTTAGTAGCGATATACCTCGGTAGATATAACATACTGTTTTATCGCTCTTTTTGTGTACTGGGATTATGACGCATGCCAGCCTTGTCATCTTGTACTTTGGTGAAAATTCCTATACAGCCATATTTCAGAAGCTCTGCTTTTACGTAGTCTTCGTTATGTTATCAGTCATGGGCAGATCTATTTTATTTTCTACAGTATAGTTTGTTCCATTCATTATGCAGTTCAATAGTATTATCATTATTCAGGACTTCGTTAAAGTGCTTTAGTCATCTTTCAATGATCTTTTCCTTGTATTTGATTGTATTACCATTTTAATCCTTGCATAAGTTTTTTTTTTGTTGGAATTTCTTTGTCTGCTTCTTTAAACTTCAGTACATATATATACCCGTACGAACTTTACATACCAGAAATATTATCAACGTTTCCAAGCCCTAACTTTTTCAATAGTATTTTCGATAACCTTTTCTGTGTTCCACATGATTTTTTTGGGATGATTTCTATTAATTACATTTTTAATCCGCTGATATACTTTAGCAACAGCTAAATTGTGGTCTGAATCACAATTCGCATTTTTGTAAGACCTAACGTCGACTATAGAAGTTGCATGCCTCTTGTCAATCATAATGTGGTTAGTGAGATTGGCACTATTCCTACCGGGAATTTTTATGTACGTTTTTGTGAGGAAACGAAACGCTGCTAATCCACATAAATGGACTAGCAGCAAAATTACATGTACATTATTAGTATTATTATGTCTGCTTATTTTGTTGCAGTTTGTTGGTCTCATCAGCGCCCTCAGTCAGTGCATATATTGTGATCAAAGATAAATTTTGAAACTTACCCATCAATCTCATGTAGCACATTCTGTCTTTTACTGGCACAACTAGTTCCTTTATTAGGCTGTAAGCCTCAAGACCAGTACCCTTTAGGAGAGCCAGATCACCTTGCTTCTTTCGACCCCCTTTTTTCATCAGGGTTTGCTTCCACATTGGGTTGGTTACTTGATCTCCAGTCAGGGTTGGATCAATTACTTCTTCTACTTCAGCAAAAATTCCTTTAATCCCTTGAATATTCATCATTAATACTTTTAAAATGCTTCCCTCTTCTCATCATTTATTAAAAAAAAATTTTTCTCTTCAAGTAAAATTTTTTCTATTTAATGTCGGATAAATTTTATCATTTGCTCTATGATTAGTATTAAGACCTAATTTATATTTATCATTTGCCCTTACACAGTTAATGCATTTCCAATCAGTAGCTGTGCAATCCCTTACTTTATGCCCTTCCAACTATTACCCTAACTTCACTTAAAACCGTTCTATAAGCCGCGATACTTAATTCTACTATTACATTAAATTGTATACTTGCTGTATTAATATGTGCCTTCTTTTTTGTTTAATAAACCGTAATAATCTTCATTTCATTATTATTTTTTGTATTATTTTAAGCTACTCTTTTACTAATTATTTCATCATTTGGATATTTATCTGACATACCAACAAATAATATTTTGGAATTTTTAATTTTTCGTATAATGGCTTCATAATTATCTTTTAATTTATTCTCAACTTGCCTCTTCATAGTGTCAACTGATTCGATGTCATTGCAAAAAATTGCTACAGTCCCATTCTTTTTGTTCGATATTCCATTTGTTCCCACTCGGTAAAAACAAAATGTGTCCAACCTCTTAAAGAAGAATTATTGTACTAAGTCGTCTTATTTTTTACAAATTAACCCATAATTATTATTAATTTGCTTTACTCAACAATAAGAATTTTATTTAATTCAACAATAAGAATTTTTAAAGTAAATTATTTTGAGCAATCACATACAATTTCTAATACATTTTAAATGTAGAAGTTAAGGTCAGAGAATATATAATATGTATATTTTCTGTAGTTGTTGAACTATGCAGTAAAGACGTTTCACTATGAAAACGGACAAATTTTAAAAAATATGTACAACCAATGCATTTTCTGTTACACCTAGCTTACACCAAAACATGTCTGATACCTTCTTGTCTAAATGTTCTAGATTTGAATACAGGAGAAAGCAGTACTAAAGTATATTTCTTACTTTTTTCTAATAAATTCGGAAGTCTGCTTCCGAATTAGGAAGCCGGAGAAAATTTTTTGAAGATAAAGCAATTTCACGATTTGATACTTGCAGTATTTTAACAGTTTTATAATATTTATTTTAGTGTTTGATGTATCCTTATTTCAGCAAAATTTTCAAATGTAGCAAATTTCGGTATTTTAGCAGATTTGAGTATCTTTGTATCCATGCTAAATTCAAAGCAAAAATGTATCCAATTAATTGGGAACGCAGATTTGTATTAAGATTAGTGTTTATTGATTTTTTAGTTCATTTCTAGTGGTATTAGCTGTTTGTGTTTCTTTTGGTTTTACTACCACCATAGAATTTTTTCTCAGTACTCCAGCGGAAGTTTTTTTTTTTCAATTCTGTTATTATTTTTTAAATTCAACTCTTTCATAATATTTTCACCTTGCAGTTTGCAATCTTCAGTCATTTTTCTTATTTCTTCCGTACTTTTATAATGTGATTACTGAGAATCTTTTAAAGTCAACAATCTTTCATCATACCGTTTTTCAAATGCTTCAAATGCAAATTTTTAATTTCAAATTCATGTTTATTTAAAAACTCGTCAAATTAATTTTTATATTACTTAAGTTGTGATCTATTTTCTTCAACCTTATCTCTGATACTATTCAACGCTATTTCCATTACTTGAACATACATTATTAACACAATCGTCGCACATAAATCTTATTGATCGATTTTCTGGAAAGAACGGCAATAGCAAACTCATATAGCGCACATTTTATCCGACTGCAATAAAATAACTTGTTAGACGTTCACCTCTTCTTATTCTCTTACATTCATGACACGAGACGATATTTGCAATAAATTTACATTAAATTTACAATTTTCATCAAATAAAATAATTTATTTTAATTTTTATTTTTAGAGCAAAACAAAACTTTACTTTTTCTTATACAGTGTTATCATATAATGCTGTCTAGACCCGTATTGTAAGACTCAAGATTCATTTCAAGCCATGCAATACATGCCATAAAGATTGAGTTGGAAAATAGGCATAAAAATCGTATTTTGTGTGTACTGGGACAGTAGGGCGGCGCTACAGTCGGCCCAGGTTACATCCAAGTTAATCTGGATCTGCCTTGCTGCGCTCGCGGAATTGTCATCGGCAAACTCATTCTCATTCAGGACTGAATTTGTGCGACGACTGCCTTTCTGTGGGCTGTTTTCTTCTGCCGTGCGAGCTAGGCTTGCCTGCCTGCTTGGGACGGAATGTGCACCCTGGCGTGGTACGAAGGGGTTCCATGTGTGAAAGGGTTTCTTCCATCGGGTTCGAGCTATTGCGAATTTCTTTATTGGAGACTGCCCGGTAAGATGAATGAATAGACGAACGAACGAAAGAACTGACGGACGGACAGACGTACAAGGTGAAATTAATAAGCACTTTTTTTCTAAAATTTTTTTGGAAAAATGTTAAAAGTCAAGAATCAATTAAAGCGTATTTCCTTATTTTCACATATCAAAAGATTAAAAAAATCTTTGTATTGTCTTCTATATGTATGTATAAATGCATCGAATACTAATGAAGGTATAAAATATCAAATTATGCATTTGAAAATTTGTGGAATCAAAAAAATTCTGTAAATAATTTTACTAACATGAAAAAATTTACTTGAACTAGTAAAATTATTAATATGTACATATGAATCTTTTGATTTGAATTAAGTTAAAATCTATCAATATGTGCAAGATTAGATTGGTTAAAGAACATGCCAGATATTATAACGTGTACAATTTTTTCGAAAATTTTCAAGTTTTGAGGATAAATATTAATCAAAAACTTTACAAGCTTTGATAATGACGAATTAGGAATTGTAACTTAAGCTTATAACTTATACAAAGTGCAAAAAAATTTTTACATCATTTAAACAAAGTTTAAATGATGTAAAAATTTTTTAAAACCTTAACTTAACAAATTCACTTAATTTAGCTTTTTGTAAGGACAAACATATCTGTATCTAACTATCTTTTCTCTATCTATCTAACTTTCTATAATTTCTCAATGTCTAGTTTAGCATTAGTGTTAGCATGATAACTGCTTTAAGATGATTTGAAACAAATATCTATCACTGCTAACGGCTTTCAATGAAAATTTTCTAATAGTATTCAACGGAAAATTGGTCAATTAAAGTACTTTTTTGCAATCATTACGTTCCACAATAAAAATTACCTAGTTTCTTCGTAAGTAGAAAAAGCAGGTGGAAATGAATGTAGAATAAATTTCAATGAAAGTAATTGCATAATGATAGAAAAACAAAAACTTGAAATATAATTACACGCAACACGTTTACATAGAGTCATACCTAGAATCATTCTACTTACGTAGTACTCGTTTATATATTGTTGTCAAATCCGGTTTTAGTTTTTAATTACCTGAAGCTTCGTTATAATAAACGCTTATTCTTTCCAATTGAAGATCATTATCACCTGTGTAAACACCATTGGGATCGATACCATGTTCTTCAGAGATAATTTCCCAAAACTGAAAATATAAGTTAAACTTTCATTAAATTTGACGCAAACACAAGTATCTAGGTTTGTAAATTTGTAATGAAAAATAAATTTATATTTGATATCTTATAAACACATGTGTATAAATTGTATTTAAAACTTATAGCGGAAATTTTTAATTACATTTAGATAAGCATTAATAAAAAACAATTTTAATCTATATTTAAGTAAGTGAATTAAGAAAAATCATTTTATTTCTCGATGACATGGCATTTATCGCGTTAGCTTTTTGTAATCATCTTTTAGAGTAAAAACGGATTAAAATACGTTAAATTGAAAAATAAAATTGTCAATTGAAACGGCCATTTTGTCATTCAAATGTTTGATTTACTCCCTCACTATAACTAATAAAAAAATATTAATTACATAAACAATATTCCAAAAACAAGTCTTTATAGTCAAATTGCTAATAATTTAATCTATTTAAAATTGCTAATAATTTAATCTATTTAAACCGAATTTAAACTTGCTTAAATCGCATTATACAAAAATTCTAAATAAAGTTGTTATTTTAAAACAATTTCTTACAGATGTACACATAAGACTTACACAGATTTTCCTACTGCTTCTAACAGACTGTTTTCGCTAACGACAATAAGGGTACATAAATGGCGATTTACATAATAATGGCTCTCGTAAGGCTGAATTTATTCCGTACTGAAAGTAAGTCTAGCAAATTTTATTACACAATATATGCACTTGTATATTAACACTAGATGACACCTCTTCTTTTTTTATTGAGTTGTATTATAATACATATTTTATTAAATATATAAAGAGAATCCTTTGAAATTTGTAATTTAAAAAAAAATTATATAAATTTACTAACATTTTGTTAAACTATCATTTTTCGTAAGCTTTAAAGTTTAATATTTGTACGAGTATCGGTCATTAAAAAACAAATTTAGTTTTTTGTATTAAAAATATCAATTCAATACCATCACCTATTTTACTTTGTTGAAAATCCTTCATAGATAGAATGTTTATAAAAATTTTATAAGCGTTCTATACTATTATATGTTATCATAGCTCATCAAAAATCTTAATTTACTCAATATACAAGTTTTTTTTCTTTAAAATTTAAATTTTATTTTAAACCGAAAGTTAAAAATTTATTTCTCCCGTTCTCTGTCACATTAATTATATGAAATATGTGCAATAGACTATACTTATGTGCAGCTTTACCGCTTTGTAATACATATGTACTACACAAATTGTCTCAAATATACATTATAAATACACCTATAGATTAATTTTAAAATAACTAAAATACACAGGAATAAATTTCTCACTTTGGTTTTTTAAATGTTTTTTAATTTCTTTTATCTTAGAAAATTTTCAAATAATTTTGACTTTCGTGTTGTAAAAGTTTTGAGTTACCCTAATATTTTTGATTTGCTTGCTTAAATTTAGATTTGAAATTTCACTTTCATTTCTGTTAATTCAAGAAAAAATAGAAAACAAAAAAAATATGCCTCACTGATGATGTTACACCTCATTACAGAATTCCTTTTCTATGTTTTGTGCTTGTGTTGCATGTGACGCCATTAATAGAAATTAAATTTATTTTTGGCTTTTATTAAAAAATTAATAAATATGTAAATGTAACACGCGTATTTAAAAATATATATTACATATTCTGTTTTTTTTTAGAAATAAATTGGATCTTCATATACAAAAAAATTAATTGTCGCATTCAAAGTGGAACGTTTATTGTATATAGGCCTATGTTATTATATCGTTTTTACAGATTTGAGGTATTGCCAAAAATAGATGATAATCTTTTTTAACGTTCGTTTTTTTAATAAAATTTTTTTAAATAAAATCAAAAAATATTTTTTTAAAAGTAAATGAATTTTCCATTAGACAGCAAATTTAAAAATCTGCCACATTTTTTATTTTATTTATATATAAAAAATACCAAAGTTCTAGATTTTGAAAAAGTTATTATGAATTTAATTTTTCAATAAAAGCATCGGTCCTAAGTATTTAAATTTATTCATTTGAAACAGTAACTGAAGTCCATTTCCGAAAAAGTTCGATCTATCTACTAAACTGTATTCAAAATTTAATACAAAATTACAGTCAGAATTTGATGTTTTAGAATTTTTGTTTTGATTGCTTTTATTTCCTTGACGTTGCTTATTTGTAATTTTTATAGGTTTAAGTCAAATATTTCTTTTGGTTTAATTATCATAAATATAACATTTTTCAAAAATTATTTATTCATGTACATATAATTGCTAATATATTTGAACAGAATTTATTCAACTTGAACAAACTGAGCGATGTTTAACAAGTACATTTTCTTTAAAAAAAAGTAAAACTTTTAAAGCAATTTTCTAAAGAAATCTTTTAAGTTCCAAACCAACGTATTTCTTAAAATATGGAAAGGAATGGAATTTTCAAATCGTGATTCTGTATCACAACTCTATTGATGGTATTAATATATGTTATAAAGCTGCATAAACTACAAAGACCTATTAACTTAATAGAAATTTCTATATACAACTGCAGAACAGATGGATGATGTAATCAAAGGAACGAGTTAAAGGCAAAAAAATTAAAATTTTTTCTCCTTGAACTTCACTCGAACCAGTGGCCTACCGTTTTCTAAGCGGACACTTTACCAATGAGCTCCAGAAGTATAAAGAAATTGCCGACGAAATGTTCTATACAACTACATGTTGTATTAGTTTTCATTATAAAAACTATAAAAATTAGTATTCACTATATAAAAAACATATTTAGTACTAATTTATTATTACCAACAGGGACTTTTCATCAATTTACTTTTGCCAGTTTTTGATTATACAAACAATAAAAAATTTTAAACCGATGTTATTAAAATAATTTTTCAAATAGAAACTAAATATTTTACGCGCAGCATTGGCACGTAAGAACTTGATTTCGTGTATTGCGTATTTGAGGTTGTCCTGGATTTACAAAGAAATAGAAGCTTCCAATGAGGACTTCAATAGACTATTAATGAAGATAAAGGTCGGCGAAAAATGTAAGAAAATAAGAAAAAGAATAATTTTAAACAATTTTAATAGCGAGAAATCTGGGAACTTCACGGAATGTCCAAAAATCTGTTAAACCCACTATCACTCATGCTCATCCCATCGACAACATAATAGTCAGTAAATCGTCTTACAAGGGAAAGCAGATTCGTAACAAATGACTAAAATAGACAATTACACTTAAACAAACAGATATGAAAGATATCATAGTGACGTGGAGACAGCCATAAGAGGGACGAATAATGGAGCCAAGGAAAACATTAGGAAGGAAATATACAAAATATTAAAAGTAAACTACAATATCAACAGCAACCTGGAGCATTAAATAAAAAGTGAAAAAACAAAAGTGGAAAGAACGAGCCCCAATGTTAAAAGAAGCACGAAAGCACGACCTTATTTCATATGGATTTTTTTTTATATCGGAATTAGTATTTTTTGAGAAAAAATAAGGAAATAAATTTATACTTATTAAAAGCAGTTATAAATAGCATTTATAAAGTCATATACGAAATATATTAAAATTTTTTATAACTTAAACACTAATTGAAATTATTTAAAAATATTCTACAATAGTATCTTTTAAATAGCTGAAACTAAATAATAACTCAAATTGTTAAAATACACTATATTATGTGAGGGGCCCAGAGGCAGAGTGGCATATTCCATGCAATTGCAGAAAATGCAATTGGATAAAACGAAATTTTAATGAGCCAGAAAAATCAGTATTATAGCTGTATTGACTTAAAACTATATATTGCTATTCTCAGTGTTTTTCGTACTTTAGCTGGTTTACTACTATTTTATTTTAACTTTAAAAAAATCCGCTTTTTAGTGGGTTACGCCACTTTGGCATTGCATATAAATAAAAATGTTAAAAAATTTGTGGTTTAATTCAAATGTTTTTTTTAATTTGTTGTGGATATTTTTTATATGATAATATTTTTTAATATGATAGTATTTTTTTATATGATAATATCACAAAATTATAAGTTATTCTTAAAAATAATGAATTAATAAAAAAAAAATGCATTTTCAAATTATTTCATTAATTATTTTCCGAATATCAAGTAAAAATAGTTGCATCGACGTGGTTTGCGCTTTTAAACTCTTCATAGAATGTGAAACACATAGAATGCGTAATTATTTTTTTCATATCCGGATTTCTTACCTTCATAGAATGTGTAATGTGTAATGAATGTGTAATTGGGGTATGAATTTTGATAATTCCAATAAATCTTTGTTTTTTTCCGCAGACATTTTTCTTCTATGGAAATAAGTTTCTAGTAAAGATCTGTGTACATATGACGGATAGAATGAAACTAAAGAGAACTTCTTTTCTAAATTTTTAGAAAAAGTGCTAAAACAAATCTTAATAATTGCTATATCCAGAGTTCTTAATGTATTAGAACAGAATAAAATATAATAATAATTACTTTAATTTAAGGGGCAAACAGGGCTGCCATAAATATCATTCTAAAAAATGGTACAGGAAATCTAAAATCATAATATCACAGACAAAAAAATGGAAGTTGATGAAATACAATAATGATGAATTGCTATAATGTTGAAATGTGCAATGATGAATTGCTATAATGATGAAATGTTACAATGATGAAATGTCTCGTATGATAAGATGTCAGGGAACCGTGGTTTTGAATTATTTGTAAATGTATTTATATACTTAATTTTTTCTCTATAGAGGAATGATATAATCAATTATTATCATAAAATATAAAAATTAACTATTTTAATTTAAAAACTGTATAATTTCTTATGGAAATAGCTTTTCTTTTTCCGCAAATACAAATTATCTCAAAACAATAACAAAACAGTTTTGTTATTTTTTAAAAGCAGAGGGGCTTAAGCGTTCCATGGAGACATGAAATAACATGGGGGTTTGGTAACAGATTCACAAAATTTATACACACTTCAGTAAATCTTTTATGCA